TACCAGGGAGTGACAAGATTGCCCCTGGTGTGCACATGTTCGTAGAGGATTGGTTGGACAACTTTGGGTATATCACTAACCTATCAAGAGTGAATACGCTAATATTCAATAAACATAAGGTGTGGATCCCAGGTGAACCCATGTGTACATTATCACTGATGTATCGATGCACTCTTGATAGGTTGCATAGACCTATTATAACTGTGTTGTGGTCAATTTGGTACCAAATATTGTGTGTTCATTGTTTGGTTCAAACCGTAAAATTGAACCAATGCAAACTGAATTTATTGTTTGGTTCAGTTTGCACATGAAAATGGTTTGGTTCAATTTAATATTTTGCTAAATTGCAGTTTGTGGTTTTGGTTTGACTTGATGGAATTTATAAATCAAACCAAACCATAAATTGTACATTGAAATTTTATATAGTATAAATCTATAAATATACAATATAATTATATATATAAATAGATGATGAATAAATATTATATATATGTACAATATAATGTAATATAATATAATATATCTACTTCAAATGTATAAAGCTATAAATATAATAAACTTGTTTATTTTATCATAAAATAATAAAATAAAAGTTTTAATTATTTTTTAATTTTAGGAGTATTATTTGGGCTTTCTAATTGGGTTTAGCTCAATAAAATCCCCCAAATAGTACTAGAAACCGTACCAAATTGAGTATTTCTCAAACGGTAATTTATTATTTTGTTCTGATATCTTTTCTAAACCACACCAAATTCAATCAAACACCCCTATTCTAAACCACTTGAGGCACCTAACAGTTCTTTGTCCTTTATTCCTTTTTTTAAGGTTTTATTTTACATCGGTGCTCCAAATTCAGGATCTTTGTATTTTATTTATCAATCCACCTAACAGAAGCTTGTTTTCTTCTTTATTAATTATACTTCTGTCATTTTTCCGTGCACTTGTGATAAATAATCAAAAGAATATTCTAATTATTTCAGCTTAATTAGTGTAATCATCTGCCTTGGATTTGAAGTAGTCCAAATATTTAACCAAAAATAAATAAATGAATACAGAAAACGTCGTCGAAGGACATCTACATCGTTGTCTTATTTTGTTCTTTATTATTATTTTTGTTTATTTTTTTTAATGCGTGCCTTCTCGAGCTTATATGTACGAATGTCCAAAGCCCAAATGCTATACCACAGTAACCGAGCTGCACTTCTAATTCTCCAAGCATTCAGGTGCGCTTCTTTATTCTTCTTCTAAAACCCCAAATGCATTTCAGCTACCAATCTCTCTCTTTTCCCCAACCTGGGGCAACTGGGTCCAACTCTGATTAATAGTTAAGTGGTGAAGGAGAGGTTGGGTCCAATTAGGCCAAAGATGAGCCCATCCATACCAACCCACTAAAACCAACAAAGAAATAAAACAATCAGGACATGCACCAGGAAAGCCCGAACAACAGAACAGATGCTCGGCATAATCCCATATCCGAACCCTTAATTATATAATCAAAGGGATTAAGAATTCTCTAAAACAGTCCTTCCAATTTTGCACAGGTTTCAGTTCGCGAAAACGATATTGCAGACGTTTCGACAAAGAATCAAAAGAGTTGATTTGTAGAAGATCGACGTTGAATTATCTCCCTTCTGTCGGTAAGTAGTCCTCTGCCATCTTTTCTTATGTGATGTCCAGAATTATTTATATCAAACCTGAACAATTTTGATGGATTGGATGGACCAAAAAGACAGTGGATTGGATCAATTTGATTCAAAATATTTATTAGATTGGACTGGATCTAATCTGTTTGTAATAAATTTACATCAGATTTGGTTGGATTAAGCCAAAATCTGATCTATTGATATAAGATAAGAATATAGGTATCAATAATAAATTGGATTTGGATTTAAACCAATCTAAATTAAAATGAATTTAAACAAATTAGATGATCCAAACATTAAATTGGACCGGTCCAACATGATCCAAATTATTCATTGAATTGAATTAGACATGATCCATTTATAATGAACTCATATTGAACTGAATCGGATTGGACAAAATCCAGTACAATCTACACCCCTAGGAGGCAGGAACCAACAAACTACCCGCAATCAATTCACATTAGGGGCTGGATCTGGGTATACATAGAAGATAGAACATCTCGAGTCCAATCAAATGTTGACCTCCCCATTATGGTACGGAATTGGAACAATTTGGCCGATTCAATAAAAGCTAGGGGTGAAGGGTGATCAATGATCATGGTCTGGAATAGGCCAGGTCCAGGAGGCCAAGCTTAGCACTTATCATACAGTTTAGAACCCGAACCAGCTGGGCCTGACCCAGCCCGGGATCTGGCCTGAAATATAAGCTTCTGGGCCTGGCTTCTAGGCCTATGTTTTCAATGTTATATATTAAATGTATGTGTATGATATGAAATATTAAGCCCAAGCCTAACAACTTCCAGGCGTAGATTCCTAGCTAGGCTGCAAATAGTGATCCTTAATAATAGCTTATTTTATTTGGTCGAACCAGTAGTCAGACAGGAGACCTAGAACCATACCCAAACAACTTGATCTCTGATTATTTTGTCAATATAATATGGTGATTAGTTTAGTAATAATTTATGATTTATCATCTTAAAATCTCATCAAATTGGGAAGGAAAGATCATCAACATTGTGGCCCATTTCAATGTCAAACGCTATGGTTCCTGAACTTCTTAAGTCCAACTTGAGTAACTACGACGATTGGAAAATTTGGATGGAGAACTACTTTAGAGGGCAAGGCCTTTGGAACATTGTGGAAGGAAAAGAAGGGCCATCGCTGGATGATTTCAGTAATGTTGCAGCAGCATGGGAGGAGAAGAACGCCAAAGCTCTACATGTAATTCAGATTTGTTGCGGATCAGAGATGTTCCCTCGCATTAAAGATTTGAAATCAGCCAAAGAAGCGTGGGATTGCTTGGGCAAAGAGCACAGCAAAATGTGGTACCATGTCAAGCGGCAACAGGAGATGTATTATAGTTTGCAGGAACTAGGTAAATCCTCTCTATTTCTAATCTCTCTTCAGGAGATTCTGTTATCTTATAGGACTCCAACTGAACAACTTGGTCCATAGCATCTGGAAAAGGTATACTAGTTGGTTATATCTTTAATTTGAATCAGAATTTCCCAAGCATAAAATTTAGTAGTTTTAATCGAAGATCACCTTGTATATAAATAAATAGGGTTCCCCTTTCTTAAGGTTGCATTTCGTATCATAGAAAAGACATGGAACAAGGCTTAATTCTTATCAGGATTCTTGTATCTGAACCCATATAGATGGAACAAGGCTTATATGATGCATGAAGAGGTGCTAGTAGCACTCGAAGGATGGGTAGAGTAGAGGTGGGGAGTCGGAATCTTTTCCAAGCAAAAACTCAGTGTGGGCCTAAGGCCCGGCCCAGCCCATATATAGTTTATTCTATTTTATATAAAAACTTTAAACTTTATTTTAACATATAAATAAATGTTTATGCATTGAAACGTATCAATATTTGGGGTTGACAGGTTTTTTCTGCAAGGCCTACCTTGTTTCATGATAAAATTCGCTGTGGCTGTGGTTGCAACATTTCCTTGAGACCCCCCAGTTAAATATAGACATGTCAGTCCTTTGGAATAACTCAAAACCAACATATGATCTATTTTTATGCTGTGTTTGGTTTGAAAGCCTTTTCTCTCAAAGCAAATACAGTCTTGGGGAAATGCTTTGATTGTTTGGAAAGAAATACTGACATAGTTTGGGCTGGTTTGTAGCTTCATGTGCATGACACGTTAGCACAGTTTTGGGATAAAAAAAAATAATTAGAATCAATATTATTTTAATTAAAATGACAAATAAAAAACTAAATGGCTAAGAGTCATCTGCAAGAACCTTTAAAACAAGCTTAGACCGTCTTTTTCCAAACGGCTACAGCTTTTATCCTTTGATTATTTCCATCGCAGCTGCTGTGTTCATGTTTTAATTAGGGGTCATAAGTTTAGTATTGCAACGCTTGATTATTTCCATGGCAGCAATAGAGGTGATTATAGGTTGGTAAAGGCACTCGAGCCTATGGTTTTAAATATAAAATATAAAATATATAATAATATTTTATTATATATAATATATATTATATGTGTTATATTATAATGTGCATATAATATATAATATTATTCAAATAATATATATCATCATCATCATCTAAGCCTTATAAACCAATTACATGGATTCGTTACAGAAAAAAAAAAAAGAAAAAATTATATGGAATCAGTTTCATGAATCCTTTATTGTAAATCTGCCAGAACAAAACTTGTGTCTATGCCCAGAAATTTCTAAAATGGGTCAGGGTAGGCTAAAAATGATGATCAATTAATAACCATGGTTTAAAGTATCAATACGATACTCATATCGACAGTATCATATCGGTACATAGAAACAGCCGAAACACTTTTTTTTTTAGTTTTGTTTTTCAAATTTTAATTTTTAAGAAAACTAAAAATAAGATTTTTTATTAAAAAAATGGGATTTCAAAACACCTATAAAGGGCGTATCTTTTATAAAAGATACGATATATATCAATACTTTAAACCATGCTAATAAGGATAAACTGAACGCAATAGCTGTTAAGTGGGCTACGTATGCATGTATATAATTGGGCCTGCTCGGAATGGGATAAGGTCAGGCCGAACTCAGATTGGATTTAGGCTTTCTAAAGGCTAAGCCTGAGTCCAACCTAAATTAAAAAATTTAGAAACAAGAACTTTTGAGTCCAATCCTAACCCAAGAACTGAATATTTAAGGGCTTGGTCGGTATGGGCTCAGATTGGGCCTGCCTAAATTGTACCCAAATTGCACCCCTAATTCCATAATTTCATAAGCTGCTGAACAGCTATCACTTTCAGAAATGATCCTCCTTACTCCCATTCATGTCCACGTAGACCCTCTAATCCAGTTTGGCGTTTTACCCAGCTTCCATTAATCCTCGTGCCATGCCTCATATTCATAGCATCATGACAGCTCATTTATCTCTGCTGGACAAGTTGTGTGTATATGGATGGGGCTCAGTATTTGCAGGGGAGAATGTAGGTGAAGGCCTGAGCAGATATCAGGAACTGTATAACGCTGCACTCAACGATGACGAAGAAATGCTCAGTACGTTGTTGACAACGAACAAAGAAGCCACAAGCGCCAAGGTTGACATGTTCTCCAACACTGCTCTTCACATCGCTGTCACAAAAGGAAATGAAAAATGTGTCAAAGACTTTGTTGAAGCACAGCTCAGAACAAGACCTTCGAATACAGAACTGCTTCGGACAAACGGCTTTTCACCTTGCTTCTCTCTCCGGCAAAATTGAGATCGTAAATGAGTTGCTGAAAACGAATATTCCGGAGTTGCTGTTGATTACTGAATCCACCCGTTCCAATACCAGTGCCAACACACTGAAATACAAGACTTGAAGTTAGATGCTGCGGAGGATCTTCTTGAGTTATTGATTAACGCTGACATCTACGGTAGGTAGGACTGCAACTTGGACAGGATTGGGTTGGGTCAGGTTGACAATCGGGTTAGGATTAGGGGAGACCAGATCTGCTCCTCATTCAGGGTGCCTCACACTGTCATCACACACACATCCTATCTTGCATTGGAAATGTCTCCCGTATTTATAAGTTATTATTCATGGGAGATGTTTTCAATGCACGCGTGGATATGCCTCTGAGGCGCCCATGTGTGAGGAGCAGATCCCATTCCGGATTAGGGTTGAGTTTTACCAACCCAATTTCACTTCAAGTTGTGTTAGGGTTGATCTCCTAAAGTTTAGATTAGGTCCCAACAAGTGCATTGGGAACTTCTCTCTTGTTCTTACGATGAAATGTTTGAATAAGTTCGGCTTTAATCAGGGTAAAACCCATTCGAGCAGCTTTTACAGTCTTACAATAATAATATCCCTCTACTTCTGTGCTTTATTGTAGGGGAGATATTCCGAATGCAACATTGAAAAAAGTGGTTGGAACGATATGGCTTGCCCAGACAGAAGCCGATGTGTGTTTAAATGTTTCCAATGTACGGTTGCCATGGCTGCTGGGACCCTGCGTTGGGACTAAATCCGGTCCCCTACGATTGCTATTATAGATTTGTATTATAATATTGTGACATTCTACATTTCTACCATAATCCATGTCTCTTAACATTTTATTCCTACGTAACCCTAATGACAAATTATCATTAGTGGTTTTTAAATTTTATTTTATAATTTTATATTTTATTATATATAGAGAGAGAGGTTAGTAACCATTTCTCTTTGATTTTGCATCTCTACTAGACGTTGCTCTGGACCTAATACGCAAGTGCACCGAACTATCGAAATCCGTTGAATCATGGAAGAAGGCCTTGTATCATTTGGCTGAAAGGCCCCATGCATTTCAAAGCGGAAACCATCTTGGATTTTGGGATAGACAGATATACCAATGTAAGTAAAATTTTGATGGTTATTGTTGTAATTTAGATGAGTTTTATTTAACTATTAACTCGAGTAATGAATTATCAAAGCATGATTTGTTGATTTTTTGTAAATGTCAAGAAATTGATTCTTCTAACATGCATTTCTTCATAAAACAAAGCAGAGGGGAAAAAACAGGTAAAATTTTCTGTGGGAATTATCCCAAACATACCCTTGAATATTGTTTTTTTTATTTACTCAAAATATAGAAGCATTTCTATTTTGCTAAAGTCAACCTGCAACTTTGGAAAGAGTACAAATATAAATATGTAGAGTGCAAAACATTGTATTTTGTATTGTTTTGTATATATTTATATTGTACATATTTGTATTTATATTCTTTTCAAATTAATTCTAAGATAAAGTATCTGATATGTAAGGAGGGAGGGTACTGAATGTATATATCAGTTTGGAAGAAATATAAATACAAAATACATACAAAATAGTATAAAACCCAAGGTTTTGGGTTCTAAATATTTTTATTCGTCCTCCTTCCCAATGGAGCTAACCTAAGGCTTAGATTAGGAAGAATAAGTTTTGCTAATATAAATGTTTTGTAGTTTGATGAAAAATAAGGGAAAGAGAAAAAAAGAATCAAACCCAAGCATTTACCTGGATTTGTCCTACCGTCATCGAATCCCAGATTTTTCCACTTGAGTTGGGCTTTGATTGTGGCTGTGGAATTCTTGAGCCCTGATCTTGCCAGGGCCTGACCCAACCTGACCTGAGGCTGCTAACATTCTATAATACCCATACCAATTACCCATGTATAAATGTATTAATGCTAAGTAGGATTTTCAATATATTGAGCCTGGATCGCTATCAAGGTGGACCTCTACCACACCTATGAGAAAGTATACAAATCCTGTAGGGCCTTAAAAAAGAGGCCCAGAAGTGGCCCAATTAGCCAGATCGATTTTTATCATAGACCTTGGGCTGGATATATAATTTAATAATAAATCTAGTTAGTAACTCTGTTGCTCTCTCTTCTGAAAATATCTTTTATATCCCCTATATGCGTGTATTCACATAATCGGTTGTTTCCTAATTTCATACAGCCCTATTAATTTTCCACAATATGTATATAATTAGCATGAGCCACACTCTTGGACATGTGAACATATCTGATAATTTTCTTTCGTGTATATTATTTTTCTTTCATTCTATTTCTAAATTTGCATAACCAAGCCATCCCAGGCCCAATACGGACTTACTTTGTAATATGGTTTAGTCAGTGTTTTCGAACTGCCATTGACTCAGACAGTAAGACTGTTTGGCCTGGGAACCATTCAGGTTATTGGTTCCATTTTACTCTAAACCAGGTCTTTGGCCAAAAACCCTTGAATTGGTCAATGACCCATTGATCTGGGTGGTTGAACCGTCAATCCATTCAACAGCTTTTCATCTTCTTTTGCTTTAATTATTTATTATTTATTGTCAGAACAGGCTGTTCGTTCGAACCATTGACCCAGAAACCAGTGTCCAGAATGGTTCTGATTCTGGGTTGGATCAGATTTGGGCCCAAGGTCCAGACGTTATTGTAAAGCCCGGTTCGCCTGAATGGGTCATGACTCATGAGACTCCAGTAGTCTTCTAACATTTTTATATTTGTTCCACAGGGATTCAAATAGAACAGGAATGCAATGGTTTCACCCAATGTGAGTTCCATCACCAGCCCCCAACCCCCTGTTTAGCAAGATAGATGTATCAACTAAAGGCTAACCTGGTTGGCTTTGTATTGCAGTGAATTGCTTCTTTTGGAAAAGTCTAGCTCAAATAGGTAAAGTGTACATAAGAAAATGACATCAATAAGATAATCCACTTGGAATATAACTGTAAATGTGTACATGTAATGCATACATACATACGTAGATACATCCCTTTTCTCTTGTTCTTTATACTTACTCTTCCCCTTGTGTGGTGATGAAGAAATATGAACTGTGACTGAAATCTTTTATGATCTACAATTCAAGACTTATCCCAATCTAAACTTGCTTGAATGAAGATGAAATTGCAGAAGTAACTCTATTTCTAGAACAAGATAGGAAAAACAATTTTCTAAACTAGTTCTCTGTCTCTTTGCATCACAGAACCGAGTCTCAAGAAAGTATGGGAGAAGAAGTTGATGCATATCCAAGCACATACTCTACTTGAGCACCTCGTTCATAAAGTTATAAAGTTAGATAACCAACTTGAAGTGGCGAAGTTACTTGCATCATCACTTTCTGTTGCAGCAAAATTTGGAGTAGTCGAGTTCTTTAACGTTGTTTTCCAATCTTATCCTCCTATGCTTGGATATTTTGGTTATACTATGTTGAGTATACTTCAAAATGCAATAGTAAACCGGCAAGCCAAGATTTTCCAGTTCTTAAAGAAGACATTTGGATCGGCAATAGCCATCGGAAATTACAGAGATACTTCGAAGGACACAATTTTGCATTCTGCTGCGAAATTGTCAACTTCCCCTCAACTCAACAGTATTCCTGGAGCAGCTTTACGGATGCAGAGTGAACTCCAATGGTTTAAGGTGAGATTTCTTGAGCACTCTTTGGTAAAGGAATTGTAATATTATAGTATCAAAGCATACACAAATGCATATATAAAATAGTTTGGAGTTTTTCCTGAATCTTTTCCTTAAAAAAATTTATGAAATTTTAATTATTTTTCTTTATATTTTCTCTTTCTCTTGTTATTGTAGGAAGTGGAAAAGATAGTACCACCTCATTTTGGGAACCTGAAGAATTCAGAGGACATGACAGCCCAAGCTGTATTTACTAAAGAGCACAAACACCTGGTTGTTGAAGGAGAGAAATGGATGAAGGAGACAGCCACATCATGTTCACTTATTGCTGTGCTCATTGTCACAGTAGCTTTTGCTGCTGGCTTTACTGTACCAGGTGGATATAAAGACAATCAAGGGATCCCAGTTTTCCTGGGGAGTAACTCCTTCAAGGTGTTTGCGATATCAGATGCTCTAGCATTTTTCTCTTCCACAGCCTCATTGCTCATGTTCCTTTCCATCTTCACTACACGCTACACTGAAGAAACTTTTCTAAATGCATTGCCTCGCAAGCTGATATTCGGAATAATGATGCTATTCCTCTCTGTGGCTGCGACTATGGTAGCTTTTAGCGGTGGCTATATTATCATGTTGGACAATCAGTTTCCTTTGGTAGTCGTTCTATTGGCTTTGCTTGCTTTTGCTCCTGTTACTGTCCTTGCTCTACTGCACATTCCACTATTTGTAGAGGTGGTGCTTTCCACATACAGGCATCCATTTTATTGATTGTAATACATAAGTCTTGAAAGTAGAAAACCTATCCACTTCTGTTTAAATGAATTTGGTTTTACTTTATATCATGAAAAAAGCTTCTTCATCAAAATAATTAATTGTAGGCAATACTACAAGAGGTAAAAATTTTGAGAAAATAGATTTCACCATTTTAATTATTTATGCCAACTGCAAGTAGGATTACTACAGAATATATTGTTTGACCACATTTTTTTTTTAACATTGTAATAAAAAGATGACCAAACCATCTTAGGGCCTGTTTGGCTCGCAAGACAGAATAGCAGTCTGGAATCAGAATTGGAATGGGCCATTCCGATTCCAACTGTTTGGTTGGGCGAATTTGGAACCCCTTTCCCTTGGTCATTCCCTCCCCCTCCCATGGAATGAAATCCCATTCCAGTTGATTACTATTTCCATTCTGATTCCTATCTGACCGGTTTTGATTGTGAGAGATTTCAATTCTGATTCCAATTCCAAAATTGACTGTAAACTAAACGGACCCTTATTAAAAGAATTCAAGATTATTGAAAGAACTAAAGACTCATGACTAAATTTGATCGTGAGTTAACTTTTGTATTTATACTAGAATGGAAATGGATGGGGTTAAATAAAAATTTGGTTAGATTTGGGTTGGAAAATTTAAGTTTAGATATCATCAGATTGATTTCGGTCCAAGGTTCATATATGTTTTCCCACCCAACCCATCTAATTTACAAACCCTTGTTTGATTGGAGAGGTTCAAAAGATTTCCAAAGATATTTAATAAGAAATAAAGGATTTACTGGGGGAGGGGAGATGTTATAAACCTTGACTTTAAGACATAAGAAGGTTTTTGTGAGGAGACATGTTTGTAAATTGAGATTTATCAGACTTTATGATAGGAGATTAAGAAAGTTAATTTAAGGGCCCATTGGTTTACTGGAATAGGGTCTGTTATCAAATTGGGATTGGAATTTCCACATTTTGAGGGACTGGCCATTCCCTCCCCTCCCTTGGGAATGTGGTCCTATTCCAGTTGTTTTCAATTCTGATTCTGATTTCCGTTTGGATCAAATAGGCCATGCGAATTGATCATTCTGATTCCAATTCCGAAGGGATTTCAGTTCCAATTCAGACCACAAACCAAAAGGATTAGAATTTTTTTTGCTAAATTCTATATGGTGAAAGACCCTTGTCCTCCACATACTCTTTGTATGTATAGATTATCAATGTACAATTTGAATTTGCTAAATTCTATATGGTGAAAGACCCTTGTCCAATGCCAAAATATTTTTAATACTGTCACAGGAGCCCAAACAGTAGATTCATGAGCATATAAAGCCAATTGATCTAACTTATGTGCCACATGATTTCCTTTTCTTCTGTCATGGCTAGGAATGGCAATAAGGTGATTTTGGGGCAGGGCACCCACTCCCTATCCTCACCACATGGCCAAAATTCCCTACCCCGTCCCTGCTCCATCTCATGTGGTGGAGCAGGTTCGGGGGGAGTGCCCTGCCCCCTAGTGGGGGAGGGGAATTTTCGAATTTTCCATTCTTCAAGTGAATCACCTAAAAATACATCATATTTGGGGGTATTTTAATTTAAAACTCCGTACCCCATCTTCCCTCCATCTTCAGTGGTGGGGTGGGAGTGCCCTACCCTGGTGGGGATGGGAAATCTCTGAATTTTCCCCGCTCCAAGTTATTCATCTAAAAATACATCATATTTGGGGGCATTTTAATTTAAAAATAGGATTATGGAAATTTATGGGTATTTTAAAATTTACATTATGGATCCTTAAGGTCTTAAGAATTTTGGGAAACATAGGGTTTTTTGAAATCTAGTTGTTCCACAACCCCCTCAAACCATCATCCAATCAAGATTCTAGGTCTGATTCGAGTAAAATCCGGAGGGAGATGAAAAGCTATTGCCTTAGTAAAAAATCGACTGACCTAGATGATTGGACCATTGACCCATTTGACCCAGTAACTTGGTCACGAGTTGCATGCTAAATGTGTATGCAAAATTCGGAAGGTCATAACTTTGTAAACTTCGGAAGGCCATACACTAAATGTGTATGCAAACTTCAGACGCACACTAAATGCGTCCCAAGGAGCCTTGCCCCACTATTTTTGCCAAAAAAAATCCTTTTCTGGCCTCAAATTTCAATTTTAATATTTTTTTACAAATTAAAAGTTAACAACTGAATTAAAAAACATAAATTAAATGTAAAATAATACAAATATTTCATATAAAACATAATTATATATGATTTATTGTTAAAATACATGTTTATACATACCTATACACACAAATATATGTATGTATATATGTATGTATGTATGTATATATGTATGTATATACGTATTACTGATATGGCATGGTCTGATTAATTCGACTCAGATGATCGAACTAGTGACCCACGATTCAGAGGCAAAAACAATTCAACCTTTGAATTGGCTTTTTAAAATACTGTATTCATTTTTTTTCCATTTTATTTTAAAAATCAAATGGAAATTGTTGCAAAGGCCAAATACTTGCAATGAAGTCTGTACCTGAGTAGTAGCTATTATAGAAGGCAGGAAGAAAATACCCTATATATTAATTGGTTGTGCTAGCAAATGCCATTGAACCTATATCCTTATAATTGTTTCATATACTTATCTCATTACTAAAAATTGACATGCATATGTATTTGTGTTGGGGTTTAGCTAACATGGGAGTTGTGCTAACATACTTGGGCATTACTACGAGTAGGCCCAGCGGCCTAAGCCGCATTCTGGGTCTAAAGTCTTCGGATTGGGCTTGGGAGACCCTAAACAAAAGCCTGTCCCACCTGTTGCCTCGCACCTTGAACTGTCCATTGCCTTATATTTCCTATTTATTTTGAGGAAACTAAAATCGAGATGACTTGAAGCCATTGATTTTTCTGGGCCTAAAGTCTTATATAATTGTGATGATCATGGGCTGGGCCAAGCAGGATTTTTACACGGCTGTAACATAATTTTGAGTGTCCGGGCCTAGCCTGGCCCACATACACCCCGACCTTATGGGCTGGGTATTGCGGACCCAGGCAGATATAATCAACCCTACTCGGGACTTGGGCCTGGGTATACCCCTGATTCTGTCGAGACCTAACACATTGACAACCCTACACCAAGCATACCTTTTGGGGGTAATGGGGGATTTATTTACAACCATCAACCTATCTTAATGAATTATTTAATCATTAAAAGATATCCGAAGTTTAACAGCTTTTATTGTCCCGTTTGATTCGTGGGAATAAGGGTCTGGAATTGGAATCGAAATAGGCTATTTCGATTTTATCTATTTGGTTGGATGGAATTGAAATCTTATTTCTATTTCTGATGGAATGACATTTCCTCATTTGAGGGAATGCCCTTGCCCTTGAGAATGAAATCTCGTTTCTGCTGTTTTTAATTTTCATTCTCATTTCTGTTTTAATCAAACGGACTAAGGAAATAGACCATTCTGATTCTAACTTCGAAGGATTTTGATTTAGTTTCTCATTCTGGTTCCGAGTGCGAAACAAGCGGACCCTAAGGTTAGACAATTTCTCTGATACCGGAAGGATGTGATACAAAGTCATTGTATAAGAGGTTTCAACTGGTTATGTAGGTTTACAATTCATGGGTAGATGCGGTTGCCATTAGAGTTTAAGCAGTGAGAAATGATTAGAGTTTAACGGGATTCATAAAGCTTTACCCCATATAGCTAGGACGACTTATTCTGGGCATCTCAAATGGTCTAATTTCAGAACTTTACAATGAAAAAATATGTTTTCTTGAATACATATTTGAAGTTTTGATCTGATACCAACGTTAGAAAACTGGAAAAATCAACTATACAAGCAAATTACTAATGACAGTAACAATTGTACTATAAAACCATGGACTAAATCCAGTCTTTTACCCCTGAATAAAGTTCCTTGGTGTCTAAGGCTGGCATGGTCCAATTCAAACCATTTGGCAAGCATTCAGAAACATAAATAATAAGAACTACTTCATATTTTCTTCTTTAGTTTCATATTTATCTATCTTTAAATAATCATCAATCATCTATTGCTACATTGATATAGTACCCATCTTAAGTTTAAAACCCATCCAATCAACTACACAGTACCAGAATATATAAGTAAAAATTAACCACCATACGTTCTACGTACTCCAAGATTCCATACTTGTGGAAGGCAAGAAAGGGCATGAATCATCATGGTTAGTACTAGTTATCGAACTAATACTGCCAAAGTCGATATGTTTCTCTGTTTCATTATTATTGTATTGGAATAAATGTTGATCTGCTAACCACCTCTCCTCGTGCAATGTAGATTGGGCTTGTGGATGATCTTCAAACCTTCTCAATCCTTCAAGGCTAGCGGCAACTTCTTTCATGGTTGGCCTCTTCTTCCCATTTAACTTGAGGCATTGTTTTGCAATCTTAGCAACTGTGAGAAGTTTTTCTTTCTCTCCTTCATTCACCACTCGAGTCTCTAATATATCAAAAAGGTTATTACCCTTAGTCGATGATATGAAATGCATAACTATGCTTTTCTCTTCTTCAGGTCTAGTAGAAGACATAACCCTTTTTCCTGTTAATAGCTCCACAAGAATTACTCCAAAACTATAGACGTCACTCTTATCTGTAAATTGGCCGGAATGAAAGTATTCTGGATCCAAATAGCCGAAAGTCCCCTGCACAACAGTTGTCAGATGAGTTTTGTCAACAGGTATTGACCTTGAAATACCAAAATCTGCAACCTTGGCATTGTAGTTTTCATCCAACAGAATGTTGCTTGGTTTGATGTCTCTATGAAATATTGGGATGGAAGCTGCAAAGTGCAAATAGGCAAGGGCTTCTGCAACTTGAATGGCGATCCTGAGGCGAGTTTTCCAAGAAAGTGATGAAACATATCCATCATCATGGAGATGGTGAGATAGGGTTCCATTTGAAACAAATTCATAAACCAGGAGGGGAACTTGAGTTTCCAGACAACAGCCAAACAAGCTTACAATGTTTCTATGGTTGATCTGTGCAAGAATGATAACTTCATTAATGAATTGATCAACTTGGTTTTCATCGACTATTTTGGACTTCTTAACGGCCACTATTTTTCCATCTGATAGCATTCCTTTGTAAACTGTACCAAATCCACCCTTACCGAGAATTCGGCTCTCACTGAAGTTATCTGTTGCCCTTTCTAGTTCTTCTATAACAAAGATTTTAGTTCTATCAAGATTGCCTTCATGCGTTGAAAATTTCTGCTGTAGTAATAGGCCACCGTTTTGCTTGAAGAACTTCTGCCTTAGTTTAGTTTGCTTTCTTTTCTGAATAAGGGAATGCCCCTGAAAACCGATAGGAATCAAAACTGCTAGAGCTATTGCTGTTGCAATTCCTGCATGCATTAATTGCAAAAGAAAAAAAAAAAGTTTAAATAAATTATTCAAGTATCATTTTGTATGCAATTAAAAAATATTTGATAATCCACACCTATCATATTTAGCAATCAAAATTGGGAGAAGATTGAGTACCGGAAGCTATTTCCACAACCGGAAATTTTTTATGTGATGAGGATACGCAATGCATCTCTTCATTTTCATCTATGCCATGAGTGCCAGGTGGGCAAGTACAATTGAAACTCCCAATGGTATTAACGCAAATCTGAATCTCTCGGCAAGGATTCTGAACCTCGCACTCGTCAATATCTACAGTGGTCGATATTCCAAAGAAAATACACTTAACATAACCTAATCTGTTTGAACTTTGAAGACAAAAGAGAATGGCTGAAGTAAATTTGTACCTTGGCATCCATTGGGGAGATAAGGATTCCCTTGGTAACCTTTCTTACAGTGGCAAAGATATCCAGGGCCATTGCTGGAATTGGAGCAATAGGCGTTCTTCCCGCAGGTATAATTATTCTTCTCTCTCTGTGCTTCGTTGCAAGTCTTATCCCGAATTGCCCAATCCAGTACTACTGGAGTTCTGAACCCAACGTCTACAAGGTCTTCTACTTTGCTTCTTGAATTCCATAGAGAGGACGCATTTGAAGAGAACCAATCTTCGTCAGACAGAAAGCCAAAGTTACATCTGCTGATATTCCAAGTGTAGGCTGAGCCGTTATCTTTGATATAGTTTTCAAGTGTCAAATTGAGTGTACCAAGATCCTTTGGTATCTTGCTCTGGCAACAACCAATGCCATCGCAAGACGAATCCATCACGTTCATACGATAAGGGCAAAATGAAATGCAACCGATGTGGAATTCCTGGGCAGTGTGGTCAGAAATGATGCCAACCGTGTTACATCCAATGGCCGTGAATTTGTTTCTGGTGTGGGAGAATCTGTATGCACTTGGCAAATTGGTAAAAGTTTTTGACTCTGGGCTTTTATTCTCCACAGTGTAACACATTACAGCAGCCAACATGGAGAACGTTAGTTGTCCTTGTAGTGATATGTTCAAAACGATCTGATCGCGAACCGTCCAATAATCACGATCATACAACAACAGTTGAGGAGGATCAACGGCGGTGTTGCAAAATAACTTAAATTCATCTCTGTAACAAGATGGCGCATCTCCAACTAGGCCAAATGGGTATGGGATACTAACATTCCCGCATTTGTCTTGGCAGCGAGGCATCATCGCTGTTAATTAATGTTGTTTGTTACCGGCCGGCGTCATCGTTTGCCAGATGTAGTAGCATGAGATATATATATATATATATATATAAGATGAAGCAACAAATCAAAAGCATGTTTTAGTTTCAGTATATTAAGTTCTAGTGTACCAATAGGTTCTCTGACTCGTCGGAGGAGAGACCTGGGATCAAATCCCGCTGCCATCAGGGGTTGGGGGGTTAAGGGAAAGGGGATGGGCTACCCCACTAGGACCTCAAAAGGTGTACAATGTTTGGTTTCAGGTCTAATCGATAGCTGTAAATTGCTTACTTTATCAAGGGCCCGGCTCAGGTCATGCTTTCACTCTATTAATAGATTTTTTTAAGGCCCGATCTCGAGAATGCTATTGAAACGGCTAAATAGAGAGTGAAAGAGAAATTAAAAAGAAAAAATAAATTATATATATATATATATTAAATTATAAATATATATATTTCAATCATTATTATATTACTTATATATATTTTATATAATATATAAAATACATAATAAATATAATGCTGAGCCGGTCCGGGATTTTTGACAAATCTTGATCCCGACCCATAATACAATCAAGACTTACTCTGCTAGGCCCACGGGCCTAATTACATGACCAAGCCCAACCAGGGTGCAGGCTGGGCCATCGGGCTACCCGACCCATGAACATGTCTACTGACCATCTCAATAGGCCAAGTCAGCTTGGGCATGCTTATGGTGACCCGACCAGCCAAGGTGCCACATAGGCCACTGCTAGAAGCCAGCCAACTCTCTTCGACCTTTTCAGGATCACACCGCACATCAACGAACCTTATCCTTATCTTGCCTATATCAGAAATACTCGATAAGCCTTATTAGTTTTCACGAAGTCCATCTCTGGGTGTGAAATAGACTCCGGGTAGCGTGGGTCGGAGATCTCGGACATGTTTCATGAGGCCTACACCAATTTTCCTATGTAAGGGCATCACCTCCAACCTTAGAAGGTATGCACGATTTTAGCTCTCTAGCTCTCTTACTCACAAAGCTTTCAAGCTTGCAACCATACACTTCGGCAACTTAAGCATTGGAGTGCCCACAACGGGTGAAGCACCTTGGGTCCTCTAATCGTGTTCTTTTGTAGTTCAATCGACCACATAGGCAGACCAACATCTGAGCTGCCATCTGGCTAGGAGCAACTAGATCGTGCACCATCAATTTGTACCATCTATGGGAACCAACAATAAAAAGCCAAGTTCTCACTCTCTTTCTTTTCATCTTATTTAATGGCATCTTCAAGCAACATAAAGGTCAACAACAACAACAAGGTACCAGTCACACGGGGGCAAGAGCAGCCCGCAATGAACCCTGAGGTCCCCTCTGTGACAATGAGGCAGTTTATAGTGCCCTTGACTCTTCTAGGAGTCACAGCCTTACTGAACCAAGCCTTCTTGCTACCCTAGCTAAATGCACCTCTATCTCAGGTGAACACCCGTCTCCCTGAGGTAGAGCCATTCTCAGTTCCCATAGAGATTGATGTGTGGCATTTCTATGAAATCGTGCAATATATCCACACGAACCTACAAATAAAGGCATGGGGGGAAAGGTTCATCACCTTCATGTAGCCACAACAACAACAACATCCATAGCAACCGCATCCGTCATTGCCACTACCACCCTGACTAAATCTGAACCATCATCAATAGAACAAACTTCAAAACAACTAGTAGAACAACTGACAACAGAATGACCAACAGCCGACGTGAGAAACCGAGACCAGGCTTTGGACCCGTCTTACCATCTTGATAATTGGAACCAAGCCCAATAGAAGAAAACACCAAAGCCACAGCACTGGCACACACAAAAGTGAACATCACAATGGAGGTGTCGAAGAAGAGATGCTGCAAACGCGCATGTTGCAACACAGGAAAAAGTAGCATCACCCCTGTCAACATTGTAGAGATCGAGAAGGAGAAGAAAGGTGAGGTTAGATTGGTCATAGCATAAGAGCCCACACTATCCATGACTTGGCCTCACCCTTAGCACCCGAGATTCTAAAGGCCCCATGGTTTAAGAATTTCAAGGCCCCAAACCTAGAGACGTATGACGAGACTACCAATTTGATCAACCACAGTGATAGTTACTAGTCCTTGATACAACACAATTGTGGTACCAGGGACTACCCCCTTGTTCAATAAAAAACTGGAACTAGTTCGCAAAGCTATTCACTACACACTTTGCCATAGGCAAGAGGTGCCCAAAGTCTGCGACCAGCCTCCTGAATGTTGTCCAGCAAGTAGATGAGCTTCTCTGGGATTATATTAAAATATTCAACCTTGAGCAGCCCCAAGTTCCAAACTTCAGCTCGGCCGTGCAACTCATTGCGATAGTGAAGAGAGTCTGCCACCCCGACTTGTACTGGTAGCTAGAGTTGAACCCTTTGACTTCCATGGAGGCATTCCTCATCTATGCCGACAAGTTTACCAAGGCAAAGGAGGCTCTTAGATCCTGGTTAGAGCCATAGCAAGTTGAAAGACAAAAATACCAAAAGAAAAAGCAAGAAGCAACGATGAAGAAGTAGGTCACCGATGAAGGAGCAAGCAAGAAGCAACGACAAAGAAGCAAGAGATACAGCAAGTTGGTCACCTCGAAGTAGGCAAAGCAGATCGCCTAGAAAAAGTAGATCACCATGTCAAGTTCTAGGTCAGGCCGACGATCTAGAACCCCACCAGCCCAAACCCATACTTATACCACCCTGGATGCAAAATGGGGCGAGATCTTGATGTAGATCAAGATGGTAGAGTAGACCAAGTGGCTACCTAGGATGAAAGGAGACCTGCCACCTACAACCTGAATAGATACTGTCACTTCCATCATGACATCGGCAATGACACAGATAGTTGCTGAAATCTGAAGGATGAGATCGATGAGCTGATTTGTCATGGCTACCTTAGACAATTCATCAAGCGTGATGACAAAGACACCCAACTTGCTGAACAACATAGAGAAGCACTAGAATCAAGCAGGTAGCAAGACTGTGACCAACCACCTCGGGATATCCACCAGCATTAGAGAGACCAATTCGCGGGGTGATCAACATGATCACCAAAGGTTTGATAGTTGTAGGGTGTAGCACAATGGTAGGAAAGAATGCAATTTGGGAGCTTAAGCATGAAGATGAGAACTCGCCGAAGTGCCCTCTAGTGGAGGATGTCATTTACTTCTCTAGGGACGACGCAAGCAAGTTTCAGTATCTGCACGATGACGCCCTCATTGTCAAAATGGTAATAAATGGCTTCGAGGTAAAGAAGATTTTGGTCTATTGTGGCAGTTCAGCGGACATTCTTTTTTATTATTCCTAGTGTCCTTTGAGAAGATGGAATTGGACTTGAAGGATCTGTAGTCAGTAGATGTGCTTCTCATCGGTTTTAATGGATATGTAGTGAAGCCCCTCGATAGGATCAAGGTGCTAGTTGTAGCAGGAATGGAGCCCAACATCGTCTGGTTTAAGCATACCTTCCTGGTGGTTGTCACCTCATCTCCCTATAATGCAATTTTAGATTGGCCCATCTTGCATGCACTTCATGTGGTGTTGTCGACTTAATACCTATTGATGAAGTTTTTGATGAGGTACAAAGCAAGGGTTGTATAGGGCAACCAACTAGGTTCTTGAAAGTGTTATGTTTTAGTGATAAAGGGAAAAGCAGAGCTGGTAGACGATGTTGAATTGGAGCCACCCCTAGAGCACAACGATGAGCGAGTTGCATCAATTGAGGATACAATCCTAGTCCTAGTCTCCGATACCGATTCCGCGAAGACTATCCAAATTGGAGCTCACCTGAATGAAGCACTTCAGTCTACATTAGTATTTTTTTTACTTAGTAATTTAGTTGTTTTTGCATGGTCAGTAGAAGAAATGCCCAACATAGACCCAACTGTGATTACTCACAAGATAAATGTGAAAACTTTAGTTAGGCTAGTCACGTAGAGAAAGAGAAACCTTGCCCCAAAGAGGTGGAATAGTAGATGAGGAGGTTGAGAAGATCCTTGTAGTAGGTTTTGTTAAAGAGGTCCAATACCTAAGCTAGGCCGCCAATCATGTACCTGTGAAAAAGGACAACGGAAAATGGTGCATGTGCGTTGACTACATCGACCTCAATGGAGCCTCCCAAATGACAACTTTCCACTTCCGAGAATAGACCGCCTAATAGACCTGACCTTGAGGTACAAGTTGTTGAGATTCATGGATTCCTACTCTGGTTACAACCAAATCCGGATGGACTTAGCCAATCAGGATAGGGCTTCTTTTGTAACTGAACATAAACTATATTGTTATAAAGCTATGCCCTTTAGACTAAAAAACACTAAAGCAATTTACAGCAACTTGTACATAAAGTTTTTGAACCTCTTATTTGTAATAAAATGGAATGTTATGTTGATGACATGGTCATGAAGGCTCAATTTGCAAGTTCTCTCGTTGATGATTTAAACCGTGTTTTTCAAATTTTAAGAAAGTACAACATGAAGCTCAACCCATGCAATCTTAGATATGAGACCACCTAGGTCAATAAAAGAGGTACAAAGGTTAAATGGTCGAATTGCTGCATTAAACTGATTTATGTCTAAGTCGGTTGGCCAGTGTTTACCCTTCTTTAAGGCCATTAAAAAGAATGAGGACTTTGAATGGTCTGAGGGGTGTTAGCTCATGTTCGACGAGCTCAAGAAATACCTAAAATCATCACCTTTGCTAACCTAACCTGAACTAGGAGATGAGCTCTATCTTTCTACAAGTGACAAGGTGGTAAGCTCGATACTAATAAGAGAAGTAGACTGGGTCCATAGACCCCATCTATTATGTAAGTAAACTTTTGTAGACAGTTGAGACCAGGTACCCCGACATCGAAAAGCTGGCCTTCACTCTATTTTTAGCAACTCAGAAGCTATATCCCCACTTCTAGGCTCACACCATTGTTGTCTTAACTAATAAACCTCTGAGGCATGTTGTTTAGAAGCCCAAGGTCCCAGGGTGGATGACTTCACCATCGAGTGTATGTTCAGCATGCCAACCCCTAAGATGCCTAAGCCCACCAACACATTAGAGGCATCAACCAGCATGGCACCTGTTTTGGCCAAGGAGAACTTGGCTTCGGATGAAGAGCCCTGGGTCCACGTCGGTGGCTTGCCTAATCAGTGAGGAAGCAGAGCCAGACTTATACTCTACAGACCTAGTGAAGTGAAGCTGGAGTATGCTCTTTGGTTTGCATTCGAGGCATCAAACAACGAAGTAGAGTTATGAGGCCCTCATAGTCATGCTAACCTAGGAGAAGTATGTTGGCGCAAAGCATGTCATGGTGTGTAGTGACTCTTAATTAGTCATGAACTAGGTGAATGGAGAATATGTGGCTCGGGAGCCTGCCATAATGGTTTATCTCTCCAAAATGAGGGAGTTCCAACCTGGCTTCCATTCTAGGTTCATCTAGTAAGTACCAAGGATAGAGAATGCAAAGGCCAATGCACTTTCGAAAGTGGCCAGTATAAACAATGTGATAAAGAGGACAGTATATGTTGAAGACATGCCATGACCTAGCATTATAAGGGTGACATAAGAGGTTGCTTCCATTTTGACAGCATAATCGAGCTAGATCGATCTGCTTGTTGATTATCTGCTCCATGGGACCCTACCAATAGATCGTAATGTAGTTCAGAGGGTAGAAAATCAGTGTGCTCGCTATCTTCTTATTGGCGAGCAGTTGTATAGGAGGTCCTTCACACTCCCCTACTTACATTGCTTGCGACCATTAGAGGAAAGTTAGGTGTTATACATGATCCATGAAGGTCTTTGTGGAGGACACCTATGGGGAAGGGCGCTCACCCAAAAGGCACTGAGGCAAGGCTACTATTGGCCTATGATGAGGGCGGATGCACTCGAGTTCATACAAAAGTGTGATAATTGCTAGAGGCACGTGAACATACTTCACTATCCCATTGTTAATCTCAAGTATCTAACTAGCCCGTGGCCCTTCACTTAGTGGAGGATAGACATCATTGGTCCGTTCCCACCGGTGACTGGGCAGAGAAGGTTCTTGGTCGTGGTGGTTAACTATTTTATGAAGTGGGTGGAAGCCGAGCCACTAATGACCATCACAACCCAGAATGTACAAAACTTCGTTAGGAAAAACATAATATGTAGATTCGAGCATCCAAAAGTGCTGATATCTGACAACAGAAAGTAGCTCGAAGACATAAAATTTCATAATTTATGTGTTGAGATTGTGATCCAATAAAACTTCACTTTGGTGGCACATCCACAAGCGAATGGTCAAGCCGAGGTGATGAACAGGGCAATCCTTTACTGATGGTCGAATCTCCCCTGAGCTAAGGATTTGTGGGTTGAAGAGTTGCGTAGCATCCTTTAGGCCTACCTGACTACCATCAAGACAACAACTAGAGAGACCCCATTCAATCTAACATATGGTATGGAGGTTGTCATCCATGTCGAGATTGAAGCACCGACTTTGCATTTAGAAGCATACAATGAGGAGGCCAATGACGACAAACTATAGGCCAACCTCGACCTAATCAAAAAAATTCGCGACTTGGCCTATATTCGGACTATGACTTACTAGCAATGAGTAGCTTGGTAGTATAAATTCGTGACTTGGCCTAGAACATTGACAACCTAAGGAAGTACTATTTATAAGCTTAGGAATCAAGCATCCGCTACATCAATAAATTATTTAGAGTATGGAGGACCACTCGCATTGGCGACCTGGTCAAGCCGCACATCAACTAAATTATGTACTAAGGTGTGGACATCGAGTCACTCTAAGGCTAAGGACCCTTATCCTAAGATGGTAATGACCTCGACACCACAACAAAGCCTAGTCGCTTTGGAATATGGGCAGTTTGGGTAAATCTTTTATTATGCAATGTTGGTACATACGTAGTTCAGGTTATATCCCATACAATGCCTAGTGGCCTCGACATAAACTCACCTTGGGTTACTCCTATACTATGCCTAGCCATTCTAGAAGTTAGGCACCTCAAGTGAATCTACACTTAGAAAATATTTTAAAGAAGAGTGTTTAGAGAGCAAGTTTATGTGATGAGAGCAAAAAGAATTTGTATGACTCCATTACTTCAATTTTTGTACACAAAAAAAAAAAGAAAAAGAGATGTCAGTCATCCTGGGGCTTCTTGCCCCCATCCTTCTAAATAGTGATGGTGTTATCCTTATTAGCTTTAACTTCCATGGCATCCTCGACAGCGGTGTCTAGGTCGGCTTCCTCCATGACTCCCTCATCGACCTAATTGCTTTCCTCCTCTTTGGAGTTAGGGTCCTTGTCGACCTTGTCAATCATCTCTAGGGTTCAGGCCTAAGTAGTGGCAGGTCCTAGGTCGAGCCTAGATCTTGCGGAATGCTACGATACCAAGGTCCTACCATTCCTGGTGATACTCTAGTGAGGCCTTGTACTTCTTGATAGCATGGATCTTGGCGTCGTTAATCGCATCAAGAAGAATAGGTTCACATTCGGTAAAATTTGTCTTTTGCTCCTTGACTTCCTTCTTTAGCCTCTCGATCTCCTTTAGCAGCCTCTTTATCTCAAGCTCCTGCTCTTTGATGCGCTTACGATTTGCTAACACCTCCTCCTTTAGCGTATCGATGATGCTGATGGCCTTCTCCACCCTAGACCTATATCCAGTTGTCACCATCTTGGCTCCTTTAGCCCATGCATGTTGCTATTCAGATTGCCTCATAAAGGCATGAATCATTGAGTTGGCTTGGAGAAAGAAGCAAATTATACTAAGTACTAAAAAAAGCACCTTGGAGAGAACACGACAAATGGTTTGAGAACTTACCACCATGAGACACCATATTATCTTTGCACCCACCTTAGTAGGCTTCATCTCGACGAACATGGAGATGTCTTCAGGAAAAGTTGCCTCCTTGCTCTTGGTGAGGCTAGTCTGAACATCCATTATACTCCGACCTCCTCGGGGCCTTCATCGGAGGAGCCATCCTCGGGACATTTGCACTGGACCTTGGGAGACTAAACCACCTCGTGCTGGTGTGGCGGCAACCTCTTATCTTGGTCCTCTTTGACCAAGTTAATGACTGGGACCTCCTTGGCCAAAATAAGGGCGATGGGCTCAACATCTAGTGCTTGAGAAGAATCACCATGAGACATCATCTTCCTCTTCTTCTGCTTCATGTTAAAGAAAAGCCCTTTTGTTGAAATATCCCCCATGATGCCTACAAATGACAAGTTGAAAGTTAGACGAGACAACATAATATGAAAGAAAGTACTCGCATCCAAAGTGACGACCTACTCAAAGGACTCAACCTAGCTTGAACTAGCTTTTCCTTAGTCAAGTAATCCTCCAGCTTCAGGCCGAAATCCGCCAAGTTGTGCATCCTGGCCTGCATTTTCTCATCCATTTGGTCCCCGGTGTCCTTGATACCTTTCCTCCAGTGTGTTGGGAAAGGCCACTTGCCATCTTGTGCAAGAAAGAAATATCTATTTTTCCAAGCCAAGACCTTCGAAAGGAACTCATGCAGCACTTTGTACCCTAACCAGTAGGACAGGTAATAGCTAAACATTTTCGGGGCACTTGTAGGATTTTGTTTTATTTGATAGACCGAGCCGAAGGTCTTTGTGGAAAGAGGAAGGATGAAATCAAATAATAGATATCGTACCGACCAAGGTACGAATAGAGTTCAAGTGCAACTGGTCTATGGTGACATCATCGAATTTCGAGACCTCGGGGGATGAATGGTTCAAGTGCAAAGCAGAGGCTAACTTTTAGGTGCTCCATGAATACAATGATCTACTCCTTATCTTGTTCCCAAGGAAAGCTACCCAGTGGAAGAAAGTAATTGTAACAATCGGGGAATTTGTACCGAGCAACCAAGGCATCGATTTCCTCCTCGGACATCTGGGAGGGACCAAAGTGGTCTCGTTCTCTAGGTCAAGTAGGTCAATGGGAAGATGAGGCCCTCTTATGGGAACCTCATCGGTCTTGAACCATGGTATCCTCCTTGACATAATCGGACTCCACCCTCTCAGGCATGTTTCATGAGGCCTATAGTAGCTTGCTTATATAAGGCATCACCTCCAACCTTAGAAGGTACATGCGATTTTTGCTCTCTAGCTCTCTTACTCACAAAGCTTTCAAGCTCGCAACCATACTCTTCGCTAAGTTAAGCATCAGAGTGCACAAATTGGGTAAAGCACCCTAGGTCCTCTAATCGTATTCTTTTGCAGTTTGACTGGCCACATAAGCAGACCAACATCCAAGTTGCCATCTAGCTAGGAGTGACCAGATCGTGCACTATCAGGTCCCATGTTATATAGAATTCCTTACTAACTTTTCCCCTTGGACAATTAGAAAGAGGTTAGAACTGGTTAACACTTAAATACCGAAAGTGTTCTACTTTGACTAATTTGACTAGTTAGCTGAATTGAAAACTCTCCTATGATTTAGATTATTACTAATTGGATTAGGAAATCAATTGGGCTACCATTGTAGGACTATAAGATTTACAAGACCATGCCAGGAAAGAACCGATCTTTTGCCTTTGATTCTGAGGTTGAAGAACACCAAAAGGGTTGTTTTTCAAAGTAAAAGTTTCTGCAAGGGGTTGTTGGTCGATTAGTGGCTGCACATCTTTAGTGGCTAGGATGATTTTGTGAGAGATCAATGGACACTTGAGAGTGAACTAATGTAGTAACTTTCTATACTTGTGAAACATTCACATCAGATATGGTGTTTTTCTAATAATGTTTTCAGTCTGCGACATTTGGTCAAACCTAGCCAAAGGGTGACCTGGTGGGAAGAAAGAGAAGCTCCTTTCCTCATCTTCGGTTGGCAGACGCTCAGACTTAGGACTGTCAATTGGACTGAATTTGATCCAATCCAATATTGATCCATTTATAAATGGACTATACCAAATTCAGTCTAAATCCATATATAAGTCCAATCCAATCCAAATAAAATGCAAATGGACTGGATATCTCCAGTATCCACCAACATACACGCTTTGGTGCACAAAATTCATAGGGGCAGTTTTGATTGTTCAAAATCTCAAATGTGAAATGGATAGGTTCTTAGATTGTTGATGAATTCAGATTTGTTAGTGCACGTACGACTGAGCATAAGCCATAAGTGTAAGAGACTTGGAGTTGTAAATGGATGATACAATTATGGTAGATGATGTTAAATCCTTAGAAGTGAACTCATACCTTGGCATCCATCTGGTATATAAGGATTCCCAACAAAACCTTCCAAACAGTGGCAAACATATCCAGCGCCGTTGTTGGAGTTAGAGCAGTAGGTGTTGCTCCCGCATGCATAATTTTTGTCTCCTTTCTCACAGGTCTTATTGACAATTGACGAGTCGAGTACTGGATGTTCAAAATATAGCTCTTTTAAGTTTTTTTTTTTTCTTTCAGTTAAAAAGGAAGCATCGTTTAGACGATGCTCATATACAATGTGAAGTACAGGGATCAATCAATCTTACGTAGCATAACCGTATAGGGATCGATCGATCAATCTACAGGTCTGTCCAATATATTGATTACAAAACTAATTGACCCGAATAGGCTATTAATTCCATTTAAATTTTCAAGAAAAAGAGAATTTAAAGTGAATTTTCATACCTCGGCATCCATCGAGGAGATAAGGATTCCCTTGGTAACCTTGCATACAGTGGCAGAGATATCCAGGGCCATTTGTGGAGTTGATGCAGTAAGTGTTCCTCCCGCAGGCATGACCAGTCAATCCTCGTGCTTCCTCGCATGCCTGGTTTCGAATTGCCCAGTCTAGTACTATGGAAGTCTGGATCCCAACGTTTATGAGGTATTCCACGTTGTTTCTTATGTCCCAGAAATGTGAAATTTCTGTAGCAAACGAGTGTTGGTCGGACAGAAGCATAGCAAACCCACATCTACTAATATTCCAAGTGTATTGGAAATCGTTTTGGCTATCTACGTATACACCAAAGTCATTAACATCATTTGGTATCATTTTCTGGCAGCAACCATTGCCAGCACAAGATAAGCCCGTCACTTTTGTATCCTTGAAGCATGATGACGGACAGTCGACATAGAACCCTTCAAAGCCATACAAAGATCCATATGTATCGCAACCGACTGTAATCAATCTGTTTCTGGTGTCTGAGAGCCTGTATGTGTTTGGAAATTTATATTTAACACTAATGCCGCTCCGCAGGCCTTTTGTTGCCTCCATGTTACATATGACAGCTCCCCAAATGGAGGTTATCATTTGTCCTTCAAGTGATATATTCAGAATGCTGCTGTACCGAGAACCATGGCCATAAATCATCAAATTTGGAGGATCAGTAGCAGTGTTACAAAATAACTTGAAGTCATCATTTTTGTAACAGGTTGGATCATCTCCGACTAGGCCAAACGGGTATGGGATGCTAACATTCCCACACTTGTTTTGGCAGCCAGGCCTTCTATCTGATCATGCCAAAAATTCTGTTATCAACATCATCATCTTCATCATCATCAGCTCGTTATAATTAATAAGACGAGGGGAAGGAAACAATAAACACATTTTCCTGATTTTTCTTATCCTTTTATTCTTGTTTAACAATTTATAAACAAAGAAGCAACAAACACCAAAATACATTAAAAGCCATAAATTCATTACAGTGTAAGTTACTGAGCAAATGTGGTCGGGGATTCTTCTGCCTTTATCTAATCAGACGCCAATTGACAATACTTCTGGATTGAAAATTAATAATAAAATAAAGGTAAAAAACACTTTAAAACATACCCTGAGATTTCATCAATTAACCTAGAAGTATCGTGACTTTTTTAGTATACTTATTAAATATGTCAAAGCTGACTTAAATATACCTTTTGATTCTTATACCCTTTGTTTTCTTTCAACTTTTTTAATACTAGCAGAAAGGCACGTGCTACACACATGTATCTAATGTAAATAAATGAATAAATATATATATATATATAGTAAAAGTTATTTAATATGAAAAATAATTGCTTAAAATAGAATCAACAAGAAAATCACATTATGAAAAATTAGATTTTTTTATAACCATAATGTACAAAAATTATTACAACTTTGAAGAATAATTGATTACATGATAATTATTCTAATCAATAATGTATTATCACTAATATACAAAAAAGAAGAGAATCTAGAGAGTGGACAATCACTTTTGTTAGTTGGGTAAGTATTATTTGTCTTTTACCTTTTTACTTTCTCTTAGAGGTTTCCCTTGGCAACTACAAAGGTACAAAGGGGGTCATTTGAAAATATATAAGAATAACAATATATACAATGAAGAAATAAAAAATAAAAAACAAAATGATAGACACGTTATCCTAAACCAAATGCTTGATAGCCCTAAATATTGGCCTAATAATAATTTGTTAATAAATTATTTCTGAATAAACAAATAGTTTAGTAAATTAAGTAAATAAAATTCTGTAGATAATAATTTATTTAATTTAAATAAATGAATAAATAAATTTTATTGGGATGGGACTGGTACAGGCTATCCCAAACTAGTCCTCACCCATTGACAATCCTAAATATTGGGAGATGAGAGAGAGAGAGAGAATTTAGGGGAAAAAAAATAAGGGGAGAGATAAGAAAGAGATAACTTTCATTGGGAGAGAACTAGTACAAGTTATTCCAAACCATAAATTTTACATCGTTTAGACAATTAAAACCATTAATTTAGTAAATTTAACAAATAAATTTTTATAAATAATAATAGTTAATTTAATAAAATAAATAAATGAATAAATAAAAGTTTATCGGGAGAGAACTGGTACTAGTTATTCCAAACCATGAATTTATCATTGTTTAGATGATTAAAACCAATAATTTAGTAAATTTAACAAATAAAATTTTATAAATAATAATAGTTAATTTGATAAAATAAATAAATGAATAAATAAAAGTTTATTGGGAGAGAACTGGTACAAGTTTATTAGGAGAGAACTGGTATAGGTTATTCCAAACCATAAGTTTAACATCGTTTAGACTATTAAAACCATTAATTTAGTAAATTTAACAAATAAATTTTTATAAATAATAATATTTAATTTAATAAAATAAATAAATGAATACATAAAAGTTTATTGGGAGAGAACTGGTACAAGTTATTCCAAACCATAAATTTAACATCATTTAGATGATTAAAACCATTAATTTAGTAAATTTAACAAATAAAATTTTATAAATAATAATATTTATTTTAATAACATAAATAAATGAATAAATAAAAGTTTATTAGGACAAAACTTGTACAAGTTATTCCAAACCAAACCCAACCCAATGATTAGGGTTGTCAATGGGTCAGATTGGACCCAATGGACCTAACAAACCCAAACCGATTGGGTAGTTTATCGATCTAGGAGCTGGAACTAGTGGGTCAGTTTTGGGTCTTGATATATTATCTCGATTCAAATCAGGTTAGAACTGGTCCCACCCCATCTCGAACTGATTTCATCTCCAAACTGATTAGTTATATATATATATATATATATATATATATATATATAATTCTAAAATTACAGACCCTATCGGGTCTAATTCAGTTCCAGGTCCTTGATAATTCTTGTCGAGTCAGTTTTAGTTCTACTTGGACCAAACCCATTGACAACCCTACCAATGGTAGCCCCAAATATTGGGCTACTAATAACTTGTTAGTAAATTATCTCTAAATAAATAAATAATTAGTAAGTTAAATAAATAAAATTTTATTAATAATAATTTATTTAATTTAATAAAATAAATAAATAAATAAATTTTATTGGGATGAGACTGGTAAAAACTATCCTAAACCAGACCCGACCCATTGACAGCCCCAAATATTGGATTAATAATAAATTGTTAGTAAATTATTTCTAAATAAATAAATAGTAAATTAAATAAATAAAATTTCATAGATAATAATTTATTTAACTTAGTAAGATAAGTGAATGAATAAATAAAATTTATTGGGATGAGACTGGTACAGACTATCTTGAACTAGACCTAACCCATTGACAATTGTAAAATTAGAAGAGAGAGAGAGAAAGAAAGAGAGGGGGGAAAAGAATAAGGGACAGGAGGGGAAAGAAAGAGATGGAATTCATTATTTTTCTTCTAAATGGCGATATGGCAATAAATAATTAAAAATTGAATAACAAATATAAAAGGGGAAAAGTATAATGATTACTTTTATCTTATGTGATAGGATTTTAAAAATTTTTAAGGATTAAATTGGAAAAGAAAATTTTCAAACTCATATTGGCTGTGGATCTATCAGGTTCTTTTACTCTTTCAGGGAACACTTGAGTCAATTTATGAAAAATCAAAACCATTTGGATTGGAACGACCGGACGAGCTAAATTAGTGGGTCGTCCGTCTCACAAACAGCTCATGAAGAGCCACATTCTTTGGTTTATTTTGTGTTAGGTGTCAGCGAGGCTGTTTGGCATTGATGCCGTTTCTGTCAAGAAACGGTGTCAGCTAGCCTATTAATGAAAAAGAAATGAGAATATAATAAAGGAAGGGAAAATAAATTAGAAAGCTGGAAATCAAAAAATTGCAATGCCAACCAAAAACCATTATTTTTAAAAGAAAAATGCGATTGGGATATGAGAAGCCTATAAACAACAAATATGACAAAAATCTAGAAACAAACATGCTGGCTTCAGCTTACTCTTTGTCTTGCCATTAAAAGCTTTTCAACTAGATATAAAACATCATCCCTGCTTGTTTCTCTGAAACCAAGTTGAATTGTTTTTTGGTTTTCATTGTTACAATATAAATAATATGCCACAAACAAAGACCAATTGCTGTGATAGAAGGAAAATCATAAAACGAGAAAGATTCTACCGTGTTTCAATCACCAATCATATTTGAATCTTTGGCTCAGTTTGGAAGGAGTACAGATACAAATATGTAGTGCTGTTCGATCCGAGGTGATGCACGAACTGAGGAAGACAGTCAAATAATTCTTGTCAATACGGCAGAGCTGAGGAGAAGGATGAGGTTGCATTTCAAGACCTGTGATCAAGAAAGGGAAGTTAGAGGCCCGAGGAGTTATCCTTGGCTAGGCACTCCGACGCCCAAGTCAGTAGAAGGTGGTGGTTGGTTGGGCCAAGCAATGAGAGTGCTGGTTCGAGTAGAGTGACAGTATGAGCGCTAGAAGTTGGCCTTCCCTACCTTAAGCAGGATATACCTTTTTATAGCCAAAGGTCTGTGTCCTGATCGGATTAGGCTTCCGGGGATACCGAGATGAGGTTAACTACCAAGGTCTTCGGAATAGAGTCCTAATCCCTGGCGGAGTTGTCCCCATCCTCTCTTGTTCTTGGTTGTGCTTATCCGTGTGACGTGTAGTTGACGTGGCTAAGTATATAAGATGTGGGCTACCGTAATAGCGTAGCACAGCTGGGGCCGCGGAGTAGGCCAGGTCGTGCTGACGTGGCTGGGGTGACTAGGTGATGACTGGGTGGCCATGTGTTTCCTAAGGCTAGCTCAGCCATTACTCGAACACCACTCCCCCAGTTTTGAAGTCGAGGAATGAAGTGCTCGGCCAAGCTGCGTAGCAGGGTTCTTTATTCCTCGACTGAGGAACTCCTATTTGAAGTCTGGTTGAGCGTCTGGTCCACTTAGTATTCCTCAGTGCTTGTCAAAATTTGGGATCCGCACAATGTGGGTTGTGGCTGAGTAGTTCTTTGATCATCGGTTACGGAACTTCGAGAATCCTAGCTTCGGAATCCAAACACCACTCCCCCAGTTTCGAAGTCGAGGAGAGGAAGTGCTTGGCCGAGGTATTGTGCGGTCATTAAGTTTGGCCAAGCGTCAAGGAGTTGAGTTGGACTCTAAAGTTGAGGAGAGATAGTGCTCGACCGAGATATTGCATGGCCATTTAGTCTGGCCATGTGCCAAGGTGTTGAGTTGGGCTCCAGAGCTTGGGCATCTCTAATGTTCGGCGTTGCTACACTGCGGAAGGGCTCTTCGTTGTTCGGCTGAGGAACTTGTGCTTGAAATTTTGGAGTCCGAACACCACTCCCCTAGTTCTGAAGTCGAAGAGTGGAGTGCCTGGTTGGGGTGCAGCATGAGCTCCTTTAGTCAGGGTCTGCTATTGGGCATCTTAAGGAGACCCGAAGGGCTAGCTAAACCGGTGGGGATTATAAGAAGGGGTGGAAGGGCATTTCTCCTTCTCCATTTGCGAGAGGAACTGCTTAGATAGCTTAGCAAGGGGTTATTAGCATTGCTCGGCTTTTGTTCTTATTCTACAGCTTCAAGTTCGGTAAGATGTCTTTCCCATCTTCCTGTTCCTCTTCTTTTGGTTCATCTTCCAGTTCTAGTGGCTCCGAGTATGGATCTGAGGTAGGGGACTTTGAGGCTGTTTAGGTCAAGGATGCCAAGGTTGGCCCTTTTAGAGTGGAGGTAGAGCTTCCTACGCAGGCTAGTCATCGATTCGGGACCA